CTTACAGTTATTTTTACATTTTTTATTACAGTTTCCTCTATAGCCTCCAGTCCCGTTTTGTTTTGACAGTTATTCACTAAGCCAAGGAGAGGTAAATAAACCTTTCTCTGAATATCTGCAAACAGAATGGGAAACAAGTCTGCACAGAACATCGGGTTTTAGCCTGAATCATCACACAGTTTTGAGCTCCTGGGTTGGGGGATTATCAGTCAGTTGTACATGATGAATCAAATTTAGGGGTTTTGAGCACCAGCTACTGAGACCAAATGGAGTTTCAAGCCAGCCAAACATTTCAGAATAAGGTTGGTATGGAAATGTAACTTTTTATCCATTTACAATGTAAGACATAATTTCCTATTAAAGAGGTAATGATAGTATTCATGATAGTATAGATTCAATGCATTCAGTATTACAGCTATTCAAGATTACATGAGAAGCATTAACAGAGTATTATTACTCAGTCAGATGTATGCTGGAATTTTATTGGATTTTTGCTGTTTTATTTACCTTACTGGCAGAACAAGGTCTTCTGTTCATACAGGAATGTGTTCTTAGGAAACACATCGAGATCATTTTGCTTTTACAAAGATGCTTAAGTAAACTAATTAAGTAAACTAATGCTGACTGATGTTAAGTTTTATTTTTGTATGGTTAGTATCAGTATCTTGACATTTAAAGCCTCTGCCCAAAAGCTGTTGCTGTCTTGCATTCCCATAGTCTTGCTAGAATTCGCTTGCTCTAAGTGCATGGCAGGTATTTTCCTAGCCTGTTATCAAAGGCCCAGATGGAAGAGCAGTGAGAGGGAGGAAGGAAAGAATCAATATATCTTATAAAGTCTTTTAATGCAATTTTGTTTTCAGAAGTCTAAGTGCCATTTTATCTGCTTTGTTTTACCCCCTTCTTCAGGTGTCGGAATTGCTGTGTTTAAAATGCAAAGTGTAAAAGCAGAGATGGTGCCTTTTTTCTCCTTCTGGTAAACAGCTTAAAATTCTGCAGATTAAAGATAAATTGGATAGAAAGTATAAGAACCAATTAAGATAGAGTGACTTTTATACACAATGCAGTTATGAAAAAAACAACTGTACTGTGATTATGCAAATCAGCCACTCACAACCAAAATGCAGGGATTTACATAACGGAGAAAAAAATTCTTCACAGTTATGCCTCAGTAACCTTACAGGATTCTTGCACTTTAATTGTATGACTCATTGTAATAAAATGATCCCACTTGCTTTATCCGGAGTGAAATATATGTTAGGACACCGCCATGCTGAATGATTTGTGTGCTTCTGGAAGCCTACACTCTCCTGCCACGAAATGTGAAGTATGTTCTACTTTAAAGAGGTACAAATCAATGAAGAATTTCTGCTTGTATCTATCAAAATTTTAACTGGGTTTACATACTGCATCACTGCTCTTGAAATAAATGTATACTAATACAAATGGGCCCTCTCCTCTTGGAACTTCTATTTCCTCATTCTATTACATTCATCCATTTTTGACAAAATAAGACTTCTTTGGTGCATGTATTACAGCAGGAAACATCAGTATAATTCAAATTGCACAGTCCCTATTTGTAGTTTTGCAAAGTGAAATCTTAATGGGAATCCTGATATTTTTAGTTAGTTAAGTATGTCTAGACTATATAACCTGGGACTTGTATGTGTTCTACAAAACGTATAATTTTAAAAAGATGACTGTTCTATTACAAGCCACACAAAAGGAACAGTATTTATTCAGCTGGGTGTAGTTTGCTGTACCTTTATTTTTGTCATCATGTATTCCAATATCTGAATGTTTTTTTTTAATATAAGCATGACTTGATATTATGTGATTTCTATGAAAAACCAGAAAGAGGAAACTATATATAAATTAGCCCCTACTATGGCTCAGCTTTTTTATCACTCAAACCAAGTTGATTGCAGGTGAGCTTCTTCACAATATGGGTACATTCTATCCTATTATACATCCATTAAAGCATGATGGCATATTTTCCATCCGCAGACATCCTAGGCAGAGGCAACTAAAACATTTAATTATTTCTCTCTTGCACATAGACAACACAGCACTGGAAAAAAAAAAAAAAATCCTCTCACAGTAACTACTGAGCTTTCAAAGCCCTCCCTGTCATGTGGGGATGAACACGAGACCTTTAGAAGTTTTAAATGAGAAAGTACGTGAATTAGAAAACAGGCTTATCACTGATCTGCAAAGATTGGACAATTTGCTGACTATGGCATTCCTCTGCCATGTGGAAAACTCAGGGTCAGGTCTGCAGTTTGAATCTACCAGAGGGAAAACCTGGTCCATGGTCTCAGAAGTGTTCTCAGACCCAAGTATCTGTGCTGTCCCTAATAGGGCCTGTTCACCATCTTTATTCTCTCTCACACAGCAAGAAATTCCCAGAAAGGCACCATAAAAACAATTTGGTTGGAACAAATTTACATTCTGCTCTATTTTAAGAGAGATTCTCAAAAAATTTACAACCAGTTGTAAGAGGTAAGGTCTGACAACTTTTCTACCACAATTAAATCCTCAGCTTTCTAATAGGCTAACCACACCTCGCTGACAACTCCCTCCTGACATAAACCAAACAAATAGTAAGGAAATGCTAGAATCTTCTGATAGGGAAATGAGGTCTCCTCTCCCCTCCTGCCCCCCATATTTTGGAGACAGCCTACTTAAACTTATTTGGTGATCGGTTTGTGCTAGTTTATAAACAAGAAACAGATACAGACCTGTCAGTTACAGGCCATTCACATAGGAATTGTTATTGGGGAAAATGGGGAAACCTAAAGTTATTTGGGATATAAAATGTTCCAACATGTCAGTGGTACTATTTCATATTTAAATATTTAAAAAAAACCACACCCAAGCCCTTTGCCCCTTTGTAGTCCAATGAACATGCAACTTTCTTCTTGAAAAGGCAAAATTAAAAAAAAAAAACAACCCAGCAGAATGTCATGTTAAACAGTCCCATTATTTGATGGAGATGCTGGGAAGATCCAATCGCATCTGCAGCTTCTAGAAGGAGAGCAGACAATTGGCATGGGATTTGTGACTCCACCACAAAATTACTGCATGATCTTGGATAAGAGTCCAGATTTCTAAAATGGGGGCAATATGTTCTGGTCTTACTATCAGCATATTTTATAGATACCATATTTTATAGATACTATAATGTATTTCACAAGAAATAAGAGTTGTCTTATGGCCTGGTACACTTTTCACAGTAAGCACTTTGATAATGTTATAGTAGGTTCTTTTTTTTTTTTTTTCATGAACAGAAAAAAAAAAAAAAGTTTATTCAGTCCAATCTGGAAAGATTCTCCAGATTGAACTTTCCACTTGTTTTCATTGTTTTAAAAACCTATGCAGCAGTGCATTCGAAGTTCCTCTCTCTCTCCAGACCTTTTCCTAGCCCTACCAATTACAGAGTTCCTCATATTGGAAAGCATTCACGCCTTCGCTATGTTAAAATCAAAGTTTAAAAATAGCATAATATCTAGTGCCATTTACCTCATTTACATAGCATGGTGAGATAAAAATTAAGACACATGTTTCAAAAGCTGACCTTTTCTCCCTCAGTGTCTTGTCTTTTCTTTTTTCCTCTTCTTTTTTCTTCTTGTAGTTTTGTTTTTCCCATGATATCATCAGGCAATTTCATTTCAGTATGGTCTGCACTGGACTGTGCAGATTATCAAACTAATGACATACAGACTTCTTACCACTGTAACACCTCTATTCTTGCAAGTGAGAATTTCGAGTGACAGAACAAGGCTGTTTGCTATCAATTTTGCAAAAACCACATCTGCCAGATTGCCAAGATCCATTTCAGAGATAAAAAAATCGATTAATATTCTAATTTGTTATCTGTCTTTATCAGTCACTCATTTCTTCACACAAATGATAACCTTCTAAAACTGAAAACTCTTACTTATGTTAAAATGCTTCCATGAAAATATTTTACATTTACTTATTCTTCTGAAGTAAAAATTATTAAAGATTTAATATCTCTTTAATGCCTGCTATTAAAACACACATATACACACAGCCTTCACCTTCATGTCTACAAAAGTGCCAAAATTATCTGCTTGTATCATTAGGTAATTTTTCTGTCAGTAACAAAAAGGATTTTTTCTTTATGACATGAAATTACATTGACAATGTTGAATTAGTTGTATATTTAATACCAGTGTGTATACTAAAACACACCAAATATGTTCAAGAACCCTAGTATTATCATAAACAACAGCAAAAAGTTAATCCTTATATTTTTTTTACAAATGTGAACCAATTGAGGCTTCAACTTTGAATCAACACTTTCAGCACAGACCAAAAGAACCCTGCTGATTTTAACCCTATTGACTTCACAGAAATACACATCGGTACTTTTAAAGTATTCTGCATAGGTACAGGAACTCATGCAAACAACATTCGATGGCTGATCTAACAGAAATACTGAGTGCGAAAAGCATGGCTATCTTCACATATTACTGATGTATTAGAGCTACTTCCTTGTTAAAAAGCAATCTTCCCACTTTTTTTCTACATTTTCTAATTCCCAAAGATACACAGTTTCCTTATTTTCTCAATATTTATGAGTTCTGGCCAAATTTTGCTTCCAGGTAATACGCACATACACATTTGTCATAAACATGAAACCCCAAGTGTTACTGCTGGGAAACATTTTGCTGATTGGTCCCACGGCCACTGTGAAGTTCTGCCATTCCAGTTTAGATGATTCAGCAATAATTCATCCGTAAAAATTAGCAAGACAATCTGACATATCAAGAAGAGACTCAAATTACGTATGAGTTTGACCCTATTTTTTCTCCTCCAATTAATTTTGAGGAGCTTACTAAACCAGGATTATCTTCTGATTTTTCTAGTTTTGCCTAGAAAACATTTAGTGTGCTGTCTAAACAAGTGACAAAGAAGATGTCAAGTTAAATCTAATCTGCCAACAGAAGCTTTTTCATCAGTCAAGTTTTACTTACGTGGAATTTTGTTCAGTTCATTCATGAACTTCTCTTTTAATTTAGAAAATGCATCTTCTTTTCCTCCCCCTCCTCCGGGACTGGCTGGCTCGGTGACATTACTTGGAGGGGCTGCTGCTACTGTGGTAGCTGGCGGTGCTGCCAGGGCCTCATGATGACTTTCACTCACCATTTTAACCCCTGGGTAAGCTGTTGGAATAGAAAAAAACACAACAAAAAAGCCAAAAGATAATGTTTAAATCATTGAAATGGATCTCATCAATAAAAGACTAAATAGGCAGAATATCACTTGGTGCTCATGCTTACTGGGTAAATACAACTGCATCAGCATATTGCTTCATGTTCTTCATAAAATATTTATGAGACAAGAGAGGAAAGTCTTTTGCAGGGTTAATTTCAGCCAGAATAATTTTATTGCTTACAGTTCTTCTCCAGCAGTGTTGCATTTTGAACTGCTGAATTTGAAACCTCAAAATTCCTGTAAAACTCTCATGCAGATTTACGTTTTGCTCTTCAATTTTGAAAGTATAAGCAAATCGGGTAATAACTGCTCCCTACGTGCAAATTTCACAGTGTATTTACAGAATTATTCTTCTATGAGAGTTGCAGAGGTGTGGATCATAGCCTAAGTTTCTATATAAAATAAATGAAGTGATAAGGATATAATAAAAACACTTCAAGATTTCCTGTCACAGTAATAACCTATTGTTTCCTTTTTAAGCAAGTTGTATATTAAACAGAAATTGATTTGCATCCATTTTTATCTTCACTTTTCGAAGGCAATTTTCCTTCCAGTTATTTCGTGTGACATTTGCTACTGACAATATTCTCTTAAATTATTCAGATGTCTCAGTGGTGTATTCATGAAGCTACAACATTTGTACAGTACCTACATGCAGCCATATTGAAATATCTGAGAGGCTCTCACAAACATAATCCCACATCAGCATATTTTTAATTCCATGTTGTTTAACGGGCATTTTACAAAACCTTTACTCGAGCGTACATTACAAAGCAAAGAATTTTGAGCCAGTGGGGTGAAGGTGAGATGAGACGCACAAAGCAATTTCAATATCACAAGAAGGTTGGCTGAAATGTTTACAGTGGTTTTGAACACATTGTTCTGATTTTCTGCCGCATCCTAAATATCACTAATCTGAATAATCATTCTGGTTTTCTTCAGAAAACCGGAGGGAGAAAAGGTTTGAGAGATAACAAACATTCGTTATTGCTCTGAGTGTACAATTGCTCTCAGCCCCAAAAGACATTTGGCCTTTGATCTCTTGCTGAGAAATTTAAACATCACCATAGGAAAAAAAGGTAACACATCAAAATTAAAGGGGCATAAGAGCATCTGACTGCATGCAGTACCATGAATCACGAGCTTTCCTGCCTTACGTGACTGTTTTCAGGGATGGTGCCGAGAGTGCTCAAATCACTAAATCAAGATGAGGATTGGCTTTTCGTCCTTCAACTTTACTCCTACGAGCCCGCAGTCATGAAGACCTGCAGGCGCAGACCTGACTGCAGGCAGAATGAACCTTTTGAAATCACCCTCATCATTCTTGTCATTAAACAGGGGTTTGCACACAAGTGTAGTCTGGAATAGAAGCCATTCTCCAATACTGTCACCTGATGAAAAAGAGTTTAACTAAATAGGGGGTTGGCCTTGTTCTGAAGAAGCAATTTGGTGGATATTTTGCAGCAATTTTATTGATGCAGCACTGAAAGAAGCAGAATTCCCTGCCTGCCCATCGCTTCTGCCTTTGCCCTCACAGTCTCTAGCCTAATATAAAATCATGTTGACATTGACACAGAATATGTATATGATACAGCTCCATAAATATTTCATAAGCATGCAGTCTTATCTATTTGCCTGTAACAACACGGGAGCAGTTCACTATCTAAAGCAGACCGAAGTCGATGGAAAGATTCCAGTTAATATCCATGAACTCTGGCTCAAGTCCGATGTCTGTGAAGATTTCCCCACTTGCCTCCCAAAATAACAATCGGGAAAAACATGTAGTGCATAATTTGTGTAGCACGAAATAACGTGCCAGCTATTCCAGACTAGAAGACTTTTTCCATATGCTCTGATGTTTGCCAAATACTATGAAGCAAAACACGCAGAGCCATCAGCTGTAAACATTAGTGCTGTTTTATATTATAGCATTTTGTCAATGAATGTCAGTTAAATCAGAAGAAAAGTTGTATGATATATCATAATTAAATCAAAATTAAATTGCTTAATTATAATATATTGCTTAATTATTTCAGGCCTGGCAGTTGACTATTTTATTTTGTAATGGAAGACACAATTTGCAGCGATGACTTTCAGCTAATTAAAAATTAAGGCAAATGTCATTTATTTGCTTCCAGTTTTGGAGCTATATTTTGAAAATGTATTAGGAGAACAAATTTGAAGTCTTACACTTTCATTTATTTAAAAGAAGGAAAAAATAACAAACCAGAGTATTCCTCTGATCTCCAGGAACAATCCTCAGTAGAGTCCTAGTGCAGTCAGAAGTCACTACATCTAATGAGGCATGCACAAATGCTTTGAGACTTGCTACAGAGCCTTCGACCTTTACACGCCAGTGACACTGTCCTGATATTTTAAATAGGTGTGAAGGGGCTGAAAAAGAACCTTGTCTCAGAAAAAGCTTTCTGCAGTAAAGAATTTTCTGAAGAGCACATGCCCACTTGCTCACAGAGATAACATCTGATGGCTTCTATTATTGTAATGCTGCAGCTTTCCACAATAACGATATAAACACTGTGGTATTATTAGAGACTGCAGAGTACTGGATAATTAGATTTAAATTGGCCTTTTACAAAAAAAGGGGTTACTTTAATGCTGCAGTGCATCGCTGAAGGTAAAGATCTACAAAATACTAGTAGATTATCTGCCATTTATGAAATGGCAGTTGCAAGCAAAAATTTCTTATAGGTTAAAAAATGAAATGTCATAGAATTCAATTATGATTTCCAGTTCAGTGTTCACTACAATGATTATAGTGCTAGGTATGAAACATTACATGTTGCATGTGCAACATGCAGTCATAAGCAAGAGTACATTTGTAGTCATAAATAAAAGCATTTACATGCTTCTCTAAAACACAGCATAGACTGTATTCCCTGAGCATGCCGATTCTTTGGTATATCACTGCCCAGACACACTAGTGCCATATAATCATTACAAGACAGATGTTTCTGACAAAAATTAATATCAGCTCAAACTTCTACATCATTTCCTCTGAAAAGGAAGCATCTGAATAATATACAAATGTACTCTGGAGATTCACAAGCAGCAAGAGATTTCCTTATGGAGGTACAAAGTATTGGCTGACTGCCTTAGTGTGCTGGTATGGATCCTGAGGGTGAGAGTCCTATTGGAATGCACCTCTTAAGAGAGAAGAAAAGTAGCAACTACTCTTAAGTGAGGAGTAAAGAAGAGGAGTAAGACTTCAGACATGGCTGATTATAGAGCATGAAGTAGCCTCTGGAAATCTGAAAGCTGAAAGAGCGTGTTCCAGGGGCCAGAGCCTGTCTTTGCAAACATTCAGGCATATCCAAAGTAAGGTGTGGGGGGACTAATCCCATGGGAAAATTTTACTTGTTTTAAATTGTTTTTGAAAAATAAACTGAATAGTGGGAAAATTAATGAGAGAGATGTGGCATGTTCACAGTGATTCACAGGAAAGGGGGACTTTCAGGATTTGGAATGAGAAAAAACTCAGAGTAGTGTATCACCTTCTGGCAAATCATAGGGAGATTTATGACAGAAAAAGAAAAAAAAAAAAAACAGAAAAAGAAAAAAAAAAAAAAAAAGGCCAAGGGGAAAAAAAAAAAAAGGGAAATTATAAAAAAAAAAAAAAAAAAAAAAAAAAAAAAAAAAAAAAAAAAAAAAAAAAAAAGGCCAAGGGGCAACAAAGCAAATTTGTATGGTTTCTGTGTGGTTAAATTACAGCAGGTATACCATAGCAGCTGCTGAAGGACTTAGTGAATACTTAATCCCATGGAAATAAAATTGGTGACATGGCTGCTGCATGGTGGATTTCAGACAATTTAATTTTGCTTATTCCTCCTCTTATCTGCTGAACACAAACTGGATGGAGTTAGACAGCAAATAGGTCAGACATCCCATGCTGGCCAAATCATTCCCTCCCAATGAGAAATTTTCTGGAAAGTGTCCTTTTGCCTTGCCGCCTCTCAAATATTTCTGCCATACTAAAACCTAAAATCGATAAAAGTATTAAAAACATACAAATATAATGTTACTATGAGTAATTGTGTAAGTTTTCAGAAGTAATTGTCACTATCCTTTCAATGTTCAATGCTGTAACTGTAGTAAAGCTGGTCACTGTACTTCAATAAGCACGCAAAGTAGTAAATTGGGATCTATTATCATTAAATGGTACGTCCTGGACAGCTTATCTTTTCAGCATCCCAACCATGTTCACCTCAGCAGTTACATCCACCTTGGAATGTAATCACAAAACTTATCCAAGACAGACAAAAAATCACATGCTAACATCTGTTGTGTTCCTCTGACACTTTTGTTTACAGCTCCTGTGCACTGGAAGAGAAAGAAACTATGAGCTTTCAGTGCTGATATGTCCAGGGTAAGTATGCAGTGTTATCAGAGAATGGTTCGACACCACACTGAAAATTTACCCTATTCCATTAGACTGTTTTTAATTAAATTAATTCATCATTAAGAAGATGGGAACATTAGCAGAATGTCTAAAGATATCTACAATAAACGATCTCTGCTTAGATTTAAGTATTCTGGGATGTTAATAATATATTTTCCACTCATTCATCTTCCTATTAATGAAATACGCTATCTTTCTAGCTTCAGTAATGGACATTTATTTTAAAAGAGAAGCTCAGAAAAGAGACTTCCTTGGCTTTTTATAAAGATGGGTCTGTAACTACATTTTCAGAAGAAAGGAAGGTCATGGTAAAGATGTCATATCAAAACAGCCTTTTCACCACTACCACAAAGGCTTACAACGCAATCCAGATTTAGTACTGCTTTAGAGAAGGTACATGAAAGGCCCAAGATTTCACCGGGGAAAAACGTTCTGATGAAGAACCCTGGTGGGGAAATTCAGGTGTCCTGTCTGTGCTGCTACCGATGCACAAGAAATGTCCAAGCAAACCCCC